ATAACTTCTACCTAGAGATGTCGCTGCTGTGTTCTGTTCTCCCCTTAGTGACTCTTCAAATATATGGGAAAAATTTAGTTAGTCCAGTTAGTCCCGTTTAGGATTACCACCTTTTGTGGAAACCTTTAAAAGGCCAATAATGCCGACCTAAGGAATTCCGAACTCGAATTCACCACAACACATATTAATGCTAATTTATTTATTATTCATTCAGTACTTTTATATATTTACTTAGTTTTTTTATTTTCATTTGTATTTTTTTTATTTACTTATATTTTTATTATAAATGCATATTTTCCCTCTTTTTTGATAAACGCCCTTTCACTGGTAATTTTTCCCACAAAAATTGGAGCTGTCTGTTAACTTTAGTTTTTTAAAGACGCACACATATAAAATTGGAGCGTTCTAACGCCAACGCTTTTTCTAACGCCCTTGAGTGGCAATGCGGCTATCCCGCGGTAGCGGTAACGTTTTGAACTTTTCTCTTTCTCTCAAGTTCGTATTACTTTAAGAACATTTAATAAATTGATTGAATTTATTTCAAACAAGATAATACGAGCTTAATCGGTCGGAAAAAGTGTGCCTCCACTAGTTGAATAAACTTTTAAGTGAATATTTACCATTTTATTTTTGAACTGCGATTCGTCTGTCAAATTTTTCCTTAATGTGCTTATTCCTCTTCGTCAGTTTATCCTCCTTTCTTTCAAAGTTATATCCTTCACATTTAACTTCATTATACAACACTCTGTCAAAATTGAAAATTCCATTTGCTCTACGTTGACGCCGCGTTATTGTTGGATGTCCCATACACATTGTATGGTTATGAGGATTTTTGACAGTTGTTTAGCGCTCAACGCTTCAATTTAGAGATAGCAGTTAGACGCAACTATTTATAAATAAAGTTAAGTTAAAGTTACCCTATTATAACTTTTTCGCCACTGCTATGCAGAACATTTTACTGTTGGTATATTTTGATTTCTTTTGTTGTACACTCTTCTACTTTTGCCAATCTATTTGCTTATTAAGTATGTAAAACAGACTTAAGATAAATTGACACATTACATACTCTTCTTCACTAATTTTTGAGAATTAACCTGTCGTTTTTCACAAGAAATTACATATCACTGTCACTTGCGAAAAAATAGAAAATATTAAGATTCTAAAACTTATTATTGTTAGACTTAAATTAAGCAGATTTAACAACCAAATTTCTTTGACGTAACAAAAAAAAATTATTGAATACACCGAAATTCTGATCTCTCTGTTGTTTTATATAAAATTGTGCCGCAACAAAAACTTCTTTTTTGTTTGTTTGTTTGTTGGAAGTGACTTCTGTCAGCACGACTGCATATGGCACGTGTGTACCTCAGTGGGGCCCTTCACTATCATAAAATAGCAAAACGGGATGCTATGTGGGGACATTCTGTAAAAAGGTGAGGAGAAAATTAACTCAGTGTGCTTGGTATGCCAAGGTGGCGGGCGCTATTAAACCAGGTCCCTTTGGGCTTTTAACCTGCCTTGCAAGTACTTATAAACCGTTTCAGTGAGCCGTGGTCCGTAATGATTGTGAGGTAATGACCGCTCGTAATATTTTATGATAATTATAGCAGCTAGAAACGATTTTTCTGTCACGGAATAACTTCTTTTGGGCTTATTCAGCTCGCGTGACATAAAGACGATGGCAACCTAATCGAAGGTACTTGGGCGATGCATACAAACTAAGTTTAAGTATAAGAGATGAGCGACGGAAGAAAAATGTTTAATGAAGTCATTCTGTGGAAACTAACAGTTGTCTGAGAGAGCGAGGAACTGGATATTCATAAATAGCCGAGAGCCATGCAACTTTAACAACATCAAAATTTATAAATAAATATATACATAATTATAGATATATTTGAATATTTTATATTCACATAATGAAGTAACTAATATAAAAGATTAACTTATTAAATTATTATTATTAAACCATTGTGCAACCGCGAGAATGCTACTAGTACGGTAATCACAAGAAATAAAGACATAACCGCATAAGCAAGTCATAAATGGTGTGAAATAAAATCTGTTTCACGTATTTAGAACTTACTTTTCTTTTGCATTTTGGGCAGACAAGTAAAAAGCAAAGTGAAAGTGACACTGGGACATATTCACCGTATCAAGTAGAAAACACGTTTTAAGAAATGGTGAAAGTGAATTGCGCTCACTACCTATACGGAGAAGATCGGATAATATTCGCGATCAAGCTGGGCCTGTCTCATACAAAGACGTCGGCGAACTACGTAAATGCCTTTCGCATTCCTGCAGCAGGAAGGCGAAAACGAAAGACCATGTGATCCGCGGACTTAGAGTTGAGATACGCGAGGTAGCATGAAGCAGCCAACCCACCCATACGAAAAAATCAGAGTCGCTACCGTTGCTACAGATGTAGCAGCCCAGTCACGACTCTACTCATAGTTGTGTTACCTGTCCGTGATGACCCGAGTTCGATCTGTTGTATCGTCAAACGCATAGAACGATTGACTAAGTTGATTTTAATGGAGATACTTGAAAACAATGCTTTGATCTGACTTCGAAACAAGCGCGACCAGTTTTTCCTAAATTCCAGCTATTTCGAAACACTGGACGTTGCAATGTAGAGTGGAGCCACTCCGACTTACTCGGTTTTAGGCTCTGCTGAAGTCAATGCAGCGTGTGCTCACCAGAAGTACTGCTGCGAGCCGTCGTCGATCTTGGAGCAAGCGGCTGGCTATATAAATGTATACAAATTTGAAACTCACTCGGCCAGCGAGGTTGCCCTGAGATAATTCTCAAGTGTGAACCCGAGAATGTTTTTGGTGTGAAAAGAAAAACTTAAGCCATCGTTAACAATCTGTTGGACCCGTGAAAAGAGGATCGGCATCCACTACCTCTTCGTCGATTTAAAAGCCGATTTTGACAATATGAAAAGAAGCTGCCACTTCGCCGCTAAGTCTGAATTCGGTATCCCCGCAAAACTTATGCGGTTATGTAAACTGGCGTTAAGCAACACTAAAAGTAGATCAGGAAGGGCCTCCCCAAGCCGTTTGATACCAACCGGAGTTTCACACAGGGTGATTCCTTATCGTGTGACTTCCTTAATTTATTGCAGAGAAAATTTTAAGGGCGGCAGAGCTGAATAGAGTAGGTACAGTCTTCCATAGGAGTGTACAGCTGCAGGCGTACGCTGATGATATTGATGATATTGACACTATTGGCCTCAACAGCCGCGTCGTGAATTTTGCTTTCTACAGGCCGGATAAGGAAGCGAAGCGTATGGGCCTGGTAGTGAACGAAGGCAAGACGAAATATCTCCTCTCATCACACAAATAGTCATCGACTCGGCTGCAACGCCACCGTTGACAGTCATAACTTTGAAGTTGTAGATAACTTCGTCTCTCTTGAAAACAAGTAAGTATTAAGACCAACAACAATGTCTACCTGCAATTCCAACGCAAAATCACCCTTGCCTATTGGTGCTATTTTGGACTGAGTAGGCAATCGGAAAGTTAAGCCCTCTCTCAGCGAACGAATACCAAACTCTACAAGTCGCCTTTCGTTCTCGTCCTGTTCTATGGTGCAGAGGAATGAACGATGACAACATCTGATGAGTCAGATTTTAACAATATCTGCAATGACCAACAACAAACGACACATCAAACATTATGCTTCTACCAAATTCAAATTCTTGAAAAGCCGAATTCTCGAGCGATATTTAAATTATTCGATGGTATCCATTAATATGCGAAAGAAAGTCAGCTTCATTATTTTCATGAGACCATCAATCCATTTAAAGAGAAAGATTGAGTTACTATAATTTTTGATGTTAGTGTCTAGTATAATTATCGTTATTGCAATATGTGCGTCAACTGCAAAAATAATTCATATTTAATTAATTTAGTAAAACGAAGAATCAAAATACTACAAGGTTTAAAAATAATTGGAAACGTATAAGACCAACTCGATTAAAATGTATTGTGATAGCAATTCATTTTTTAAAAATACGGGTATATGTAAATGGATTTTAAAATAAAAAGGGAGAGTTTTATAAATATTTCAAAAGGAATCGCCGCAACTAAATAATAAAAATATCAAATGATTAGCAGGGCGTACTAATATTTGGAAGGCCTGGATGCAAGTCCTGGTCCAATCAACATCGAAATACATTTTTTTTTATTTTTCTATTTGCGGTAGCCCTCGGTAGGGACTGTTAACACCCATGTGTATTTCTGATATGAAATAAAGGATAGTTATAAAAACTAAGCTGTTTCGTTTTGTCTTTGCCTTGAAATATGTTCACTGGTATGCGTAAATGTAAAGGTCAATGAGTGCCAACAAACGACATCTGTAACTCGCGTATATAATACTTACGATGAATGAGAATGGTGGGTGACCCAAAGGAAAATATACCGATATTTGTTTTCTAAAGTACTCATTACTCAGTACTAAATATAATCTGAGAAGCCTTGTTGGCTGCATATAGCGCCGTCTTGTAGGAAACAAGGGTCGTCCACATCAACATTCTCCAATTCAGGCCCAAAATAGTCATTAGTGATGGCTCTGTAGTTAATGCTGGACGGCCATCATTTCGGTACCTATTAAATTTGCACGATTTGCAAAAGTTGCATCAGATTTTATGCTTTGGAGGTGTAGCATATTCTAAATAATGACGAATTCACACAAGATGAAGACCATAAAGAACTATACTACAATAAAAAATTTATCATACTAGTTAAAAACATAAATAATTTGCCCAACCGTGTGCACAAAACTGGTTAAAAAAGTGGGTAACCCTCGTGAGGTGTTAATATTTTGTTCCATGCGAATAAGAACCATTTATAAATCTTAAAAAAACTTTTAATTTTATTGTTTTTTGTTTTTTTATTACTCTATTTCTATTGGTACACATTTATATACAATACGTATTTCAATGAGAGTAAATACCTTATATTACATTTTTTATATTATATAATATCACAAAGAATATAAAAATACACATTAATATAATTAAACTAACTTATTCAACTCGTTGCTGAGGTTAATTTAGGTCTGGGGGAATCTGAAAAGAAAACAAAATGTTAGAATTAGTATTATGTTGAAACACATATAGAGATTTAAAGGAATACATATCGAGGCATATTCGGAATAAAAGAAGTTTTTTTATATCTTTAAATTTTCATTTATTGATTTTAATGCATTCTTGCACATTCATACATAAGTGTATGAACAAAAGGCATAAACTCACCATGCAATGTATTTAGCTTCGTAGCGATTTTAAAGATGTCCAATATCATTGTAACCGCCATCCAAATGTTTAATAGGAATCTGTGAAACAACAACACGTTAATCAAAGTTTGAAAGTGAATGTAATATATCAGTTCAACCCACTACGCTTACCTTTAAATTCAAATTTTCTTACGAATTTTTTTTTTCACAATATAATAATTCATAATAACCTCAAATAATGAATTGTTAGAGAAGTTGAAAATTTGAAGGTAAAAATTGTTACTGTTTGGGTGAAATTATATAAAGGGTAGGAATCAAGGTTTACAGAACAGTAGATTGCGACAAGAGCGAAATCATATGTTTAATGAAGAAAATGTTTAAATTTTTTTTTTTTTTGCATAGTAATTAACAAAAATTCTAAGGAAAAAAGAAGTTCTTTTTAATTGTATATAGAAACTGATTTCCGCATATTTTCCTCGTCTGCTAAAAAGCCTTTGAGAAATGGATAATACATATTTCGTTAAAAAAATCGTGTTTAAAACTTCGAAGCCGTGGGTTATTGTGGACCAAAATTAAAAAAAAAAATTGTGTGAGTGATTTATACTAATTATTCCAAATATGGCAGTATACTCGTTAACAGCCCATTTTATAAATTTAAACATCCAATTTTTTGGTTAAAAACTTGAAATTTTGTTATTACGGAAACTTGAATGCATCGGATAGTTAGTAATATTGAGCAGAGATGAAGCATTGCTTTGTGTAAAGCTCATATTCAAATTTGTTGGTCTTCGGTCACCATGGTTTGATCAAAACAGCAAACACCTTCCACCTTGCAATCGCTAAATCTGTGACTGCAGTGCCGTTGATACTTAAGAGCAAAATAAATATTTACTAATTTGTGTTTTCTTCTGTATAAGAAATCTTTTCTCATTTACATACATATAGATTTTATGAAGAAAAAAATATTTATTTTTAATATAGATTTCAAGTTCCGCCCAATCTGTATACAAGTATGATGAAGTTGGTTCCATGACGTCGACGGTTGTCATCACTTTGTATTCTGTAAACCCTGGGTGCGAATCCGTTTTTGAATATTTTAAAATTTTGGTTAAACTGAGTATTATTGACTGCCAAAAATGCAGCATGAACAATTGACTTTTACTTTATATATATATATATGGTTGAAAAAAAGGCGAATTTAAAATGGTGAGAGCAGGAGAACAAAAAAAAAAACAATTACCGTGTATTTTGGTTTTTGATTTCGGTGTAATAATCAAAACAAGTCAGAAAATAAGAAAAAATTAAAAAATAAAATTGACGTCGTTGCTTAAAAAAGCAAAGTTTGCTAATTCAAATGACATTTACGGTAAAGTAGTTTTATTTATTGGATGTTATGGAATTCTTGAAGGACATTTATTCGAAAGGGAATTTTGTAAGCAATGGCAAAGAACGTATATTAAAATAATTCATTGACAACTGCTATAAGACTCAGTCCCAGAGAAAGTTCTATAATTGCTATGGTCATAAGCGATTACTAGAATTACAGCACTGCTATAAGTTTTTGTGACGCTGTGCAGACAGTTGTATATTATATAATTCATTATAATTATTATTTATTCAACATTATCATTAGAAGGATATGCTAATCTAACCACAGTATAAACGTTATTTTTTTACTTTTCTAAATTTATTTGGTAAATACGAATCCAGATAGATGTCGATCTTAATTTTGTGGAACTTGGAATCGAACTTCCCTTTCTATGTACATACAATACCCAACGGATTACTTCGACAAGAATCCCAAACAGGAGTGAATTGGTGAAAACAAACCCCCTTCGAACAAGAAGTCATACCCATCTTAGCAGTAATATCAGTTACGATAGATGCCGACTTTGTCAGAATGAGATAAAGTGAAACGTGACCAGACAGCTATGACTTCATAGAAAAATGGGCATTCATTATCTTTGCCACAGAAGAATATTCTATAGAACACTAACACTTCTTTGTCTGTCAATCTGAGCTAGCTTCAGCGAACGCTGGCAATCTCTTTGCTTTTAAAATGTACACGAAATAATTCGAACATTTAAGAAAGTGAAAGAAAAGTCTCATAATGTGCGTTTGTCGCTGATTAATAGCCGCATCAATTCGACTCAAAATTGGAACACATTCTTTTATTTGAAAAAGTCACAAATCTTATTTGAAAATTTTCAGCTATAGTACAATTAGAAATTCGAAATAAAAATAACTAAAAATCAAAATGTAAACAAACATACAAAACATAAACAAACATTTTGACTACCTTTACATTGAAGCGAATTAATTGAATCAAAAAAGTTGAATTCCCTGCGCTAGTAACTCCACCTTGTTAAATGTGCCTTGGTTGAAACAAAATTCCAGAAAAAAAGGAAAGAGCGAATTTTAATCCCAACGTTTCACAATGCCTTGAAAGGCAATGAAGGCATTCCATCCTTATTTTCTCGGTGATGATTTGGCGTTAGGGGTTTTCGAGAGATAGGTCTTGCATAAGATTTATGGTTCTTTTCGAGTTGGGAATGGCGAATATCGCAACCGATGGAATGATAAACTGTCAATGCCATAGTTCAGCGAATCTAAAAACAGCGGATACCCTATGGTCCGGATGGATAACAGAAAAAACAGTGTAGAAAGCAGAACTTTACAGTCGTAGACACCGCTTACGCGCTTCTATCCGCTTTAATAACATTGCGCCGTGTGTTTACTTGCTACTTGGCGCCAATTGGAAATATCAAGTACTACCAGGTCCTTTTCTACTTGGTCTTTCCAACAGAGTGAAGGTCTTTACATTTCCTTTGCTTCCACAGGCAGGTACTGCATCGAAAACTTTTAAAGCTGGAGTATTCGCATCCATCCGTACCAACCTTGCCCGCGTAGTAGCTGTTTCTTGATTCGCTGAACTATGATAATGTCGCCTTATAATTCGTACAGGTCATCTTTCCATCGGCTGCGGTATTCGCCAATGCGCAAAAGACCGCAAATCTTACGCAAAACATTTCTTTCGAAAATTCGTAACGCCGACTCATCAGATGTTGACATCGTCCGTATAGCAGGATGGGATCGATGAGGGACTTGTAGGGTTTGGTTTTCGTTTGTCGGGAGAGGACTTTACTTCTCAATTGCCTACTCGGTTCCAAGTAGCACCCGTTGGCAAAAGTGATTTTGCGCTGGATTTCAAGGCTGGCGTTATCATTGGTGTTAATGCTGCTTCCTAGATAAACGAATTTATTTCCGACTTCAAAGTTCTGATTGTCAACAGTGTCGTGGGAGACAAGTCACGAATGCGATGACTATTTGTTTGATGACTGGCGATATCTCGTCTTGTCCTCGGTCACTACCAGACCCATTCGTTTCGCTTCCTTATCAAGCCTGGAGAAATCAGAACTAACAGCGAGGTTGTTGAGGCCGATAATGTCAATATCATCGGCGTACGCCAGTAGATGTGCACTCTTATAGAAGGTTGCATCTTCTCTATTCAGTTCTGCAGCTCTTATTATTTTCTCCAGCATCAGATTGCAGAAATCACACGACAATGAGTTACCTTGTCTGAAACCTCATTTGGTTCCGAACGGCTCGGTGAGGTCCTCCTCAATTCTGACTGCGCTTCTGGTGTTGTCTAGCGTCAGTTTACACAGCCGTATAAGTTTTGCGGAGGACCAAACTCATACGTAGCGGCGTATAGGCAGCTCCTTTTCCCGCTGTCGAAGGCTGCTTTAAAATCGAAGAAGAGGTCGTGTGTGTCGATCCTCTTTTCGTATGGTGAATATCTGGTCAATGGCTGACTTACCAGGTCTGAAGCTAAACTGATAAGGTCCAATCAGTTTGTTAACGGTGGGCTTTAGCCTTTAACGCTTCACATGACCTTATAGGCGATATTAAGGAGGCTTATCTCACGGTAGTTGGCGCAGGCTGTGAGTTAGCCCTTTTTGTGGACTATTTAGAGTACACCTTGGTTCCAATCGTAAGGGATGCTTTCATCGGACCATATTTTGCAAACAAGCTGATACATGCACCTTGTCAGCTCTTCCCCTATACTATGTTTGAATAGTTCTACCTGTAGGCCGTCAGCTCCAGCCGCGTTGATGTTTTCTAAGCGGGCAGTCGCTATTCGAACCTCCACATGGTCAGGTAGCGGAACATCTGTTCCGTAGTCATCGAATGGGATTTCGGGTTCACGATTTTCGGGTGTTTCATTTTCACTCCCGTTCTCCAGGTTGTGGAAGTATTCATTGCATAAATTCAATATACTTAGGGCTTCCGCATCTCAACCCTCTGGATCCTACAAGAGTTTTTTCCGGGCTTCAAACCTTCCGTAAGCCGTCGTATATTTTCATAGAATTTTCGAGCATTACCCCGGTCGGCCAGCTTCTTAAGCTCTTCATACTCACGCTTCTCGGCTTCTTTCTTTTTTATCTGCAGATGCGTCTTGCCTCGCTCTTCATCTCTAGGTATCTATCCCATCCGCACGTGTTGTGGTCGATCGTAAAGTTGCGAGGTCGGTAGTCTATTTTTTCTCCACTGCGACACGTCAGTCCTCATCGTACCAGCTGTTTTTGCGACCTTACGAAATCCAATAGTTTCGTTTGCAGTTGTACGCAGGGAGTTTGCGATGCCGTCCCACAGGTCCCGTATAACTAGTTGCTCATGAGTGCTATCAGAAGGAGTGCAAGTCGAGTAGAAAATCATTCGGCAGTCTGCTTTTCAACGTCGAACTTTCCTTGTGTTTGTTGACGTGTGTTCTTCGATACACAAGGCGCATGCGTATCTTCGCTGCAACAAGATGATAGTGCTAAAACATTGAAGAAATAAGAGTGATGTACTTTTCTTTAAAAGTCTTCTATGCAATACCAATAAAGGAGAGGAAAGGCTAGGTAGAGAAGGACCTGGCTGTACTTAGTATTTCCAATTGGCACCAAACAGCAAAAAGAAGAAGCGAATGGCGCAATGTTGTTAAATCGGCCATAATCGTGTAAGCGGTGCCTGCGCCAGTAAAGCAAGCAAGCAAGTATATATGTATGTTTAGCCTTATTCAAATAAATTGAATGTGTGCCTGGAAATGTGTTTTTTGATCACACATAAAATGCTTTAAATGTACCTATCGTTTTGTTCATAATGTTGAGTATCATAAAATTTATACATATATGACAGTTAGAGAAATGCTAGAGCAGTGCCTTAAGCTAATTGAAGATTGGGTAGCTAATTCAAAAACTCCTGACTTGTGGAAAATTAATAAACATATTATAGACTTGGGTACGAAATATTTTTCATATCGTAGCTAATGCTCGGCTAAGAAAAATCTCCAATCCATGCACCCCAGCATGTATTTCCGAGACTAAGCAAATACCACATATATAAAATACTATTGTAGATACAAAATCTTAACAGCTCGGAAATCTTAGAGTGATAGCTCAACTAGGGCATAAAACCGTTTATTTTTTACTAGATTTACACAACGTACCACTCGGCAGGGTTTTCTACTCAACTTGCAGTCCTGCTCTGTGAGAATACTTATCCGCAGTTCGGTATGCAGGAACTGTGGGGCGTCATTTCAATCTCTCGCCGTATAGCTGTAGACGAAACTATTGGATCTCATGAAGGTCAAAAACAGCTGCTACGATGAGGACTGCAGTGTCGCAGTGGAGAATAAGCAGACTGCCTACTTCACAACGCTGCAATCGACCGCTACATGTATGGGATTGGATAGATACCGAGAATTGAAGAGTGAAGGAGGATGCATTTGCAAACAAAAAAAAAATGGGCCGACAAAGGTAATGCTCGAAAGTTCTATGAATTTATGCAATGAACACTTCTCCAGCCTGGTGAACGGCAGTGAAAATGAAACACCCGGAGATCATGAACCCGAAATCCCATTCGATGACTACGGAACAGATGTTCCGCTACCTGACCATGTGGAGGTTCGAATAGCAACTTCCCGCCTAAAAAACAACAAAGCGGCTGGAGCTGACGGTCTACCGGCAAGACTATTCAAGAATGGCGGGAAAGAGCAGAAAAGGTGGATGCAACAGCTACAGTGCGTACGACGATGATATTGACCTCATTGGCTTCAACAACCGCCCCGTGAGTTCTGCTATCCTCACACTTGATATTCAGACAAACAGTCATCGACTCGGCAGCTACTTAACTGTTGACAGTCATAACTTTGAAATCGTAGATAACTTCCAGTTAGGCAATTGATAAGTGAAGTCCTCCTCTAGGAATTGAAAGCGGTGAGCTCTATGAGATATACAGCGGCATTGACATAGGTCATGGAATTAAGCGTTTACGCTGACTAGGTTATGTGGTTCACCGGTGGAAAGAGCGAACTGGAAAGAATTTAACGGTCGGCAGTTACCGTCGACTCCACCAAATGCCCTGAAATCTCTTCTTAATTTTCTTCCCTATAATTTAAGCAAAAAGCTAGCTGTGATTTAAATTTCGTGGAAATCCAAAAATTTAAGAAGAAAATTAATTTTCCGTCCTATCTCCACTTCACGAAAATTATATCTTTTTGGATTCCTACGTCCAACGCAAAACATACGCTTCATGTTTGAGATCTGTATTATCAGTGAATTAGGCTGTGGGTTTGTCAATCATTCAGGACAAAGCTTTTTGTATATGCAAAGGATTATCCAAGTAGGCGTACTTTTTTTCAATAGGCTTTTTTGAGTCGCGTCCCTGCCTAACGTCTATGCGGAGAATCCCACTTCGATTAAGGCCTTGGAGCTAAACATCACGTATGTCGTTTGCCAGTTATCACTCGGAATACTTGAACGAGTCATGGAAAATTGGACTCAACGGATGGAAATTAATTAACCTTATCTCTGGAATTAGCTCATTCGTAATAAATTAATAAAAAATGGCGAAGAAGAATGCCTCAACCATTATTTAAGCTTTTGTATCATGCTTGCTTACATAAATAACGGTAATTCACATTTTTATAAACAATGGTATTAAGTACGAGTATAAAGAAAGTCATTTAAAAACTGAACAACACTTACAGTTCATATCTATTTTGACAAACGTTTCAACAATAGCTGCTTTTGAGTGACTACGCGCTTGACATGTTAGACGCATATTAAGATGTTCTCTTTTTAGTGGTCCAAATTTAATTGAGCTTTGAACGGACTTGTTCAAGATATCCGTGCTTATTTCGTATGCTATTTGAATGTCTTCAAAAAGCCAAACCAGTGTAGGCGGAGGATTTCCTAAAGTAAGAAAAATTCAAATATATTATTAGTGATAGAGAAATGAAAATGATGTTATGGATTTGCTTGTAAAATGCATTTATTAGTTTTTTCTGTAACCACAATTATTTGGCACCATTATCATTTTAATTTAATTTAATTTTTTTTTTTGCGAAGCTAAGGGATTTGATAGCTCTTTATAGCCACAGCAAGTTTGAAGCTAATAAAATAAAACAGTTAAAGAATTTTAAATTTAAATAAATACTGATCTACAATAGATGATGGATGTTTGTACGAATTTTGCATTAGCCAAATAAATTTTACAACAACTGGTCGTCCTAAATTTTGGCGAGGTGAAGTTTGTCTGTCATAAGAAGCGAATAAAATTCCAAAATTGTATCGAACTGCAATATTCTCGAAAAATACTTACAGCGGCTACAAAGCAACAACAGCTGCTATTAAATTGTCGATGATGCAACTGTTTCCGGTTTTTTGAGAATCTAAGGTCTAGCTCTTCGAATGTTTATTTAAATTTTAATTTTTGTTTTAAAAACTTGCTAATTCGATATTATACTACTCGTGTTATCATTATTCTAAGAATTCATTAAAAATTGTTGTTTATTTATATATATATACTAACTTACTTTACTAACGTAGACACGCTTCCGTGATTATAGCCGAGTTAACAACATTGTGCCATTCGTTTCTACTTTTTGCTGTTTGGCGCTAATTGAAAAGTCCAACGAAAAGGATGTCTTCCTCTTCCTCTGCTTCCATCGGCGAGTACTGCATGGAAAACTTTCAAAACTGGAGTATTCGCATCCATCCGTACCACATGACCTAGCCAGCGTAGCCGCTGCTTCTTGATTCCCTGAACTATGTCGCCGTATAATGCGTACAGCTTACTGTTTCATCGCCTGCGATATTCGCCGTTGCCAATAGGCAAAAGCCTATAAATCTTACGTAAAACGTTTCTCCCGAAAATTCTTAACGCCGACTCATCAGATGTTCTCATCGCCCGTGCTTCCGCACTATTATATCTTCAATTGCCTACTCAGCCCAAACTAGCACCTGTTGGCAAGACTGGCATTGTTATTGGTGTTGATGTTGGTTCCTAAGTAGAAATTATATACGACTTCAAAGTTATGACTGTCAAAGGTGACTGTTTGTGTGATGATAAGAGATATTTCGTCTTGCCAGTCCCATTCCCTTCGCTTCCTTATCCAGTCTGGAGAAAGCAGAACTCATCGGCGTACGCCAGCAGTTTATAGAAGATTGTACCTTCTGTATTCTGCTCGGCACCTCGCATTATTTTTTCCGGCGATCCTGACGGAGCGCTTAGTGTTGCTTAATGTCAATGTGTTTACATAGCCGTCTAAGCTTTGCGGGGATACCAAATTCAGACATAGCGGCGCAAAGCCAGCTCATAGTCGTGCTGTCGAAGGTTGCACTAGAATCGACGAAATGGTGGTTGGTGTCTTTTCCCGAGTATTTCCCAAGATTTGGCGCATGGTGAAAATTTGGTCAATGGTCTACTTAATTCATCAAGGTCCAATCAAAGCAAATAACGGCATTCATAGTTACCCTAAGGACTTCAGGCCCATAAGTATTTCTTCCTTTGTGCTAAAAGCATTAGAGAGAATCATAGTTAACTATCTCCCTCGAACCATTAAGCGGAGTCTACTTTCAAATAATTATCACGCCTATAGAAAGGGAAAATTTACAGAAACTGCGCTGCATGGACTAATTACCTTTATTTAAAAGTCTACAACAAGGAATTTTGTCTTGTTTCCTTCTACGACATAGAGGGATCTTTCAATAACATCTTACCAAGCGCAGCTACAGCTGCACTATTGAATTTAGATGTCACACCCCATTAGTGGATTTTATCAACCAACTGCTACTAAATAAGGTAATAAACGCGAACCTGGGCGGAGTTTTCTTCGCATTGCTCTGGAATCTCACAGTAAGATCGCTTCTAGCGCAAACGGAATGGGGTGGAGCCAAACCATTGCCTACGCCGATGATATCGCCATTGCATACAGAGGAAAGTTTCCACAAACCCTCTTTAACTTGATGCAGGGAGCACAAAGTTATCGTCCTGGACTACCCAATGTGGCCTTTACCTCAACTCAAACAAAATAGAACTAGTACTATTTAATAGGAGATACAAGATCCCCGCTATCAACCCACTCCGCGTTCAACTTAGACTTGGATCAAAAGTTAAATTTATAGGAGTCATCTTAGACAAGAGACTTAACTGGAAAGATAATATAATTCAAATATTATATACAAGAAGAATGCTCCTGCATTTTATACATCAAAGCGAGCAATAGGTAAATAAGAGAGTCTAAGATCCAGGATTTGCCGATTGGTCTATATCTCAGTAGTAAGACCAATGCTCCTTTACGGTACGGTCATGTTGCGACCAGCTATAACGCTTCAAATGCTTAATTCATAGATAAGATTCAAAGACAATACTGGACAAATACGACTTTATGCCAAGTTATACAGATCGATGTAATCCAATACTATTAACTGATAACCACTTTAGAATACGAGTTCCCGGCAGGATTCAATAATGGGCAGATAATTACAATTTTCCCAGGGGTAGCCGGGAAATATACACAGACGGGCCAAAGTTTGAGAGGGAAGTTGGCGGAGGTATTTTCTCGTAAAAATATCCGATGGAACTCTCGATCAGGCTGCCATTGCAGTGTTTTCCAGGTGGAGATATTTGCTATCATGGAGGCAGCAAAGCAAGTTGGAGCCAAAGGTAACTGACAGTCTGTTCTCTTTGGCCATCTCATGTAGAGATCCTGGTCACAGGGACATCGAAGGAAATCTTAAGAGGGATGAACTTACTAGGAAAGGCCCGTCCAAGCAGATTCTTCTCAATAAAAATCGCATTGGTATCCCTTTTGCTACTTACAGACCAATCGATTATGATGGAACAAATGTTCCCGAAGATGAAGAGGTTCGAATGGCAATCGCCCGCTTGAAAAGTAACAAATGGGCGGGGAGGGGTTCATTACCGGCCAAGCTATTTAAATACGGTGATGAAGAACTGATCAAGTGTATGCATCAGCTTCTTGCAAAATATGGTCGGATGAAAGCATGCCCGGCGATCGGAACCTAAGTGTACTCAGCTCAATTAACAAGGAAAATGTACTATTTGGCGCCTGTTTGCTAAAATAAGGAAAAGTCGTGGAAATAAATTAGAAGATTTTGATTACTGTCGAAAATGCTAGCATTTGTTAAAGTTTAATGGGAAGCAAACAAGTAATATGATGTCTGATAAATGCTTCGCTAACGCTTCTGAACAGCTAGTAGTTATAAAAGCCATGTAAGCCTAGAAGATAAGGAATGCGCTATCAGTGTCTGATCACAATGGATAATATCTGAAGATGACCACGTCCATGTCGACCATGTGAAGATGATAATCATAGTGTCAAGGCTTTAACGGAGTCGGATCGTCATGTAACTGAGCGTGAGATTGTATAGAAGTCAAGTGTACCAAAATCAACCATTCATAATCATATACAAAAAATGGATTGCTAACCATAACGTCAATCGAAAACGATCATGGTCCAAGCATGAAGAAGCGCCACAAGCTCCTTCAAATGCTGATATGAACCAAAAGAAAATTATGCTGTCAGTTTGGTGGGATTAATTATGTGGTATATTATGACCTGCTTCCAAGGAACCAAACGATTAATTCGGATGTCTACTGTGAACATCTGGAAAAATTGAATACATCATATGTCCAAAAATCTGCTAAGCTTACCGACCGATCGACTTGAAATTTCATCCGATAGTTTCTGAGATTCCCGGAAAGGTTTGGAAAAAAAATTATAAAAAAAACTTTTATGTCCGTTTGTAACGGGTGTTCTCCAAAAGTTAATTTCCGATTGACTTGAAATTTCATCAGATTGCTTCTATGATACCTGGATTTTTAAGCCACTTTAAAATGTAGAATCTGTCACAAAAAAATTTTTTTTGAAGTCGCCATTTGTCAAAAATTAAAAAAATTAAAGCATAACACTAAATTTTCAGACAATTTTAAGCAGAGATATCTTCCTCACTGCCAGACACCTTTTTTTGGAGACCGGCTACAGGAACAAGAGGAACCAATATTTTTTAAAATAAATCGCCTATTGTTGAATTACATTTAATTCTGTTTACTAACATTTTTTCTATTAAATAAAAATTTAAATTTAGCAGAGAAAATTAATTAGAAATTAGCAGAAAAAATCGTTTATTTTGTTTTCAAGCGCATATAACCCCTTAATACAAGCCCTCGGAAGAGCTCTCTTTGTCATAGTAGTAAGTGAGCAGTAATCATTCTTCATACTCAGTTTTACGCAAGTAACTCAATGTTGTGTTTAACTCATTCACCGCAGATCACTGATACTCACCAAAGACACAAGAGTGACAACAACGGATTGGACAGTGTGTTTGTAAGAGTGTAAACAGTTTGGACATTCAGAGTCCAAGGCAAAATTTATCATCGCGCGTCTATCAGTACCGGATGCAAATCACAATAAATAAAAAAGTCAGTGCCTGGAAATGTCAACGATCGTTCCAACAATACATCGTTGTAAATTGAAACAAAGTTGCACTCTGTACATTCATATACGAAATGTATTGGATGGATTTTATTTTGAACCACATCCTTTTCGGGGATACACGATGCTCAATGGATTCCATTGCATGGCAGAAAAGACGATTATCACATGTTAATGCTTTAATTTGTTTAATCAACAAGATGACGCCAGATCAAATTGACCAAATCATCTCAGCTGCCACCTGACGATCGTTCGGTTGTGCCATATTAACTATTGCTCTCAAATAATTTCAAAGTACAATAGATGATTCAGTGTATTGTAATTCAGCGAAGTCGATCAAATAAATTTGCAAATACATGCATATGTCAAAAAGGAACCCTGCAAGAAGGGGCTGATGAGTTCACCAATACACTAACACGATTAGAACGCCATTTTTATCGTTTTCTCCGCCGT